CTGGCCAACAAGGGCTTCCCCTCCGACTGGAAGCTGAGCTGGAAGGTGGACGGTAACAGCAAAGCCGCGGAGACGAGCCGCGGGCTCCTGGAGAAGGACGGCCTGTACAGCTGGAGCAGCAGCCTGAGCCTCACTGCGGACGAGTGGAAGAAGGCGGGCTCAGTGGTCTGTGAGGCCCATCAGGGCTGCCAGGCTCCTGTCACTCAAACGCTGAAGCGCGCCGACTGTTCAGAATAGATGAGATCAGCGTCACCTGTGATGAGCGGCTGATTACTGTGTTTTTACTGTGCTGTGCTACACGCTTCTGATTTACTAACTGAATATATATTGTGCTTTGCTTGATCCATGAGTGAATATCTTAACTGATATTTTATTAGTTTTGGTGTTTCCTTGTATTATCTTGTGTGTTTTAGTCCTGAATACTGCATAGATAAATAAAGATTTCATCCTGTCTGATACACAAACTGACATCAAAACTGGTTATTTTAACATGCGGACAGTGATACTATCATGACTGTGAACATGATCCTGAACCTTTCAATCTAGATTTTTTTTAAGTCTGATTACAAGTCTTGTGTTAAAAGTACAAAATCTCCCCTAATATATGTGGAAAATAAAGTATAGATACATTGAGGGACTTTTAATTTAGGTTTGAAAAGGTTCATACTGAGCAGTTCCTCTATAACAGTTTTGCAAAACACATCATGGGCTCATACATAAAAGGGATAGAAAACATTTCAAATTAAACCTACTTAAAATATCTTAATTATTTACAATGGAGAGTATATGGTCTCAAGAAATACTGTATAACGTCACAATAATCTATGGTCTGAGCCCCCACCTCACTCTAACCCCCGGGGGACTGGGGGACATTTGCCTGCTCTATTCTGGGGGCAGCAGAACCGTCCTGCTCAGTTTATGCAAATATGAGTTTCGCTCCAATGGCTGAGAGTTTAGTTTCAGGGCTTAAAACAGGCTGGACTGGGGCAGCTGTGAGGGGGTGGGACTGACCCCATTTCTGATCAGGGGACAGGAAACGGAAACGTCAAATTTTTCCACAAGAACAAATATTTCAAATGTGTAAAACCAATTACAATATTGTTTTTGTGACATCGAATCACATTTTTCTTTCCCGTACCATGTTTGTCAGATCAGTTACAGAATCCAGTTCACCAGTTAAACCGGAATGCCGCAGATGTAGTCCCCCCTCCCCACTTGTTTATAATGAAAATAACTAAACTGTGTTACATATAAAAAGCTAAAACTTTAGCCAACTAATGCTTGTTTCAGCAAGTAGATTTTCAAGCCGAAATAACACTGAAAATTAGGTAGACTTACATCGTTGTCAATTTTTGGTCAGCTGGACGGAGTCAGATTTTCATTTCAAGACTGGTCTGCACGCACATGCACACGCATTTATATGCATGTAGCAGTTTTACTACCTAGGAAATAGTCTATAGGGTTAGCAAACTACCCTATTGCTTATGATATAGCTAATTTTAGGTTTATAATGGAATAATATAGATTTGCTGTAAGATTTCTTGCATAAGCATGAGAGTCTGAAAGTGTGAGTGTCACACCAGATGGGTGAGAGTTGGCCACCCTGCTTCAATTGTGCTACATTTAAGTTATCACACGGAATTCACTGATGCACCAAAACGTTTCTTTTTCAAATGCTCTTGCACATCCTGTTGTTATGCCAATTTGTGTGGAAAAAGGTCAGACTGCCGACTGTCTGGGCTGTTATTGACTTCCTTGCTTTCCTTGCCTTCTCCCTGCCATTTTTATCTATCAGTTTCAACTTGCCACTAGGTGTCACTATTTCCAACCCATGTTAATAACACACTGTCCAAGTCACCGTCATACATTGTTCAAATACATCACTTTTATTTGAACATTTTTTAATTGATTGAAAATTTTATATACCTGTTGTAGTACTAGATTGGACTTTTGGTCCATTCACTGGTTTCAAATTCAAAATAATTTTTTTTTACACTGTAAATATATATAGTGTTAGAAATAGTGTTTGCACAAATTTTTCACATTAAAATATTTAAATTCTGCACCTCTACCGTCACGAAAGGCTCAAAAGTATCTTTTTGCACCCAATATTTGGCTACTAAGTAGGCAATCAATTAATACACATGTGAATTGAACAGAGTAAATCTGAAGTTGTGCAGTGGCTCCCTCTGCTGGCCATGTGGAGATAAAAAAAAAAAAAAAAAAAAGAAACATCACTGATGGTCAACTCCCAATGGAACCTGCAAGAGGTGGTGGTCAGAGTAAATCAAAACGGGACATGGGACTGTATGCTGTAATAAACACTGTGTAATGTTTCATTATTGGAAGCCATTTAAAACTATTTTCATTTGAAAATTAGCAGCAAATATGAACACACGAGAGCAAATACAGAAGCGCAACAGCAAATATGAAGACACGCCAGAAAATTCGAACACACCAGGAAATACGGAAACACTACAACATTAGCGGCACTGAAAACGGAAAGTAAATATACCTACTAGGGCTGTCAAAATTAACGGGGTAACGCGGATTAATCCATCATCATGATTAATCTGATTAAAATTTTTAACGCAATTAACCCATCTGCAGCGCAGAATGATTCAAAATCACTGAAATGTCTCTGTCAACCCATTTCGGGTAGTTTTAGTGCGTTCCATTTCCCCTCGGAACTTGTATTCCGAGTCGGATTCCGGAGTTTTGAAGCCGGAAGTGACTACTTGCGCTCCAGTTTCTCGGACATCCGAGAAATATCTCGGAGCAGCACAGAGGATCCCGAGTTCAGAATCCAAGATGGCTGCGACCTTTATCAACAGAAGGG